TCAGCGGGAAGCGAACCATCGACTTATCGAATGATGATGTGCTTTTATTGCAATCGAAATACAGTTAGGAACGTGATTTATTTTAAATGTTCTGACTACGTCCCATTCTATGGCCATGTTATATTCTGTCAATACTCAAGCCTATCAAACTTTATAAGCTTAATATCAGCCTCTGTAGACCGAGATTAAGCTGATGTCTAAATTCTAGTTTGGAGATCAAATTGAATTTTTTTTTTCGTTTTCCAGAAAAAATTTATGGAATTTTGCGCATTTATCGATTTGCCTATTGATGCAGATCCACATGTACAGTGTGATACTGACAAAGAAGTAATTAACATTTATATTGAATTTTATCCTTTGAATAGTAGTACTCTTGCAGGGCTGATAGCGCAATGATATCAAATACACGTAACAAATAAAATTACTAAATATACTCAACTTTAATATTTTATTTTTTGGTTAAGCTATTAAACCTACAAAACAATCTGCATCCCCCATCGAGATCTTTACCACCTGAGCTGGTTTGCTTGTGCCTTGGCGGACTCCACATGGGTTATGGCAGTATGATAAATAATAGGTAATGACAGTCTTTGCATTATTATTAATAAAAAATGAATGCAATTTTTGCCTCATTTACTCGTTAGGTCTGTATAAGAGTAGAGTAATATTGTTACCACATGTAAGAATAATTTTTAATAATCGAGTGCAGAGATTTTTCGGTATCTTTGCATATATTCCTGATTTCCTTCGTCAGAGGTTTGTCATAATTTCTCGTTTGCATTCTGGCCTCGTCCTGTCAGGGTGATAACTCCTTTTCGAGTTGAACACTTTCTAGCTGGCTCTGGCCTGAGCCGAGTGTATGCTCTGCATTATGCGGCAGCTGTCGACGACGGACAAAAACTCGCACTCAAACTCTGAGTTACACTTGCATTCAGTTGTAGCTTTGGTCACACTCTCGAGCGTCCGTTGCACGCCTCGTTGTTGTGGTGGTATCCTGGTGCTTGTGTCCTGACTGCGACTCGACTGGAGTCAACTGCATGTCAGTCCTCTACTCGCCTGCTGGTTCCTCTGATTGTGGCTCAAGGGCTGCAGCTGCCTGCGTTTGACTACAATGCGCCTCATCCTGGGTGGACTCGCTGTGTGTGTATGTGGGTGTGTCTGTGCGTGTGTGTGTGCGTGTGTGTGAGAGTGTGTGTGTTTGTTTCCCGGCATCGTTTGCTTTGATAACACGTTTAGTGCGCTGGCTTATCGTGCAAGATAATTTGGGCAAGTGTCACCTCTCGGATTTTCACGCGGTGCCCAAAACGACGATTCTGACAACTTTGTCGTAACTTTTCTGAAATATGCACAAAATTTATTGGTAACGAGGCTTAGCACTTGCTAACTGGGCAGAGGGAGACTCAGCCACAGCTGCAGCTGCGGCTCTGGCTACAATTTTGGCTACCTATACCTGTGTTTTGCCAGCTCCTGGTTTCTAGTTTGCCATATAGTGCTTTTATTAGTTTTTTTCCCTGGTTTTCGTTGGGGTGGCCCACGCGTCATTGGCGCTTGTACGCTTTTTATATTAGCTTAGACGGGACGGTGTGTAATTTCTGGGTGTGCTAGCAGCTGGCACCTCTCTGCCTATATTTGCTGTTGCAGGTGTAGCAATTGCGGTTACCCAGTCACTAAAATAAACATTGCACTGAGCTGACTTATCCAAGAGCTTAAATGAATGCATTTTAACATTTGAATAGCAATATGCAAAATAAAGTTCTTAGGCTGCAAAAGCAAAAAAACGTTGCTTCAGAATATATTTTATAATTTCGAAAAAATACTTGACGTAAGCAATGATTATAAAATGTTCTATATCATTTTAATATTTTAATTATAATAGCTATGGGAAAAATAAATTTCTTAAACTGCAATTAAAGATTAGTTCCCGAACATCTTTTAAAATTGTTTTCGAGGTAAGCAATGAATACAAAAATTGTAAAGTATTTTTTTCACAATTTTTTAGAAGTGTAAGCTTTCACTTTTAATTTAAACAAAAAAAGCAGTAACTAACTGAAATAAATCACAGAAACTGTTTAGTAATTATACAATTTCTACAGTTGCTCAATATTATCAGAAGATATTCAACAGGATCGCCCAAAGATTCCTATGGAGGAACAAACCACCAATATAAATAAGCTTTGTTCTATATCTAAAAATGCTGAGAGAAAAAATTCTTCAATCCACACTTGCAAACTATTTTGCACAAAATGGCAAGCTAGATGACAACATCAAGAAAATGTGGATCGAAGATCAGCGTCACCAATGTGAAGTGACAAAGCATACGAAAGATTTGTTGCATTGCACTTCTGAATGGGAAAATAAAAAAGATGAGAAATAGAAAAGACAAAAATTGCTTTTGTATTTGCTATTGCTTATGCTGAAAGTCGTGTCTGAGTGTGCCTAGGCGTGTGTAGAATATCAAATGTGCATCCAATGCATATAATTTATATTTATATCTTTAAATAGTGGATTTTCTCCCACATTTTTTCTTACCGATGTTGGGGAAATGAAGCAAGCAATTTAATTAAACTTGATCTGTGCGTGGCATACGACAATTCATATTCTAAATTAAAAATCTCCGGCAGAAAAAGTCTCTTAGATCGGCTTATTCATATACGCAGATACTCATGGCTATATAGACTCGATACCGGAGATGCTTCGCTCTGCGTAATACCACTAAGCAGACAATAAGGTTACACATCAGGCCCAAAAACTACAAAATTTAAAATCGAGTGTCATCTTCCATAGAAAAATACAAGGATAGAGTGTTGATACTATCTTCGCACACTTTTTTGCACACTTTCATAACCCATTCGGGTCTATTAGAAAAGGTGCGTACCTGTTCGAACCCAATCACGCATGCTCATATAAGTCTGGGTTAATAATTTACCCGCGAAGTTGTCACAGCGAAGTCTAGTGAAATAATGACCTGCGTTCGGTGAATGACACGCGAGGGCTGAAGATTCTTCGACGCGTTGCCTTCTTGTCAGAATAGGACCCACGCGCACATAAAAAGTCTCTGTATATTTTCTGCTTGCTGGTAATACTTAATTTGTCTACTCAAACACTTCAAGGTATAAATATATATTTTCTGTATTTTTTCTCCATACATAAATAATTTAAATAAATTTGAGGATGAATTGCATGTACACTCTTTTTTAATTTTGTATAATTAAGGAAACAAAATTTAATTACAAATGAAAACCCCAATTAAAAAAATATTTTCTAAAATGCAGAAAAAAGTAATGAAATTTACTGGCTCGAGTTTTAAATGAAAGTTAAGCTGTCAAGTGCCTTGGAGACCGGCTAGATTATTGGGAACAGATCGCGGGTGCCTTCAAATTAATTTATATAAATTTTATAAGCAATGTAAAATCTTTGTATATATGTGAAGTCTATAAGTACTAATATTAAGTAATCTTAAAAGTGTCATCATAAAATTATAAAAATTCTTCAATTTACACACTTAAGAAACACCATGTAAAGCAAATAATTTATTTTTCAAATCTTAGAAAAATTGATCCTGAAATTTTAAATGCAAAACTTAGTTTTACTAAGCCAAAACCATCAGTATTAGAAAATTACGTTCTGCATAATATAGTGAGCAACCATTGATTTCTTTTACGAGTGTTCCAATTTACAAATTCTAGTGTAATACGTCAATTAAACATAGCATTGAGGATATGCTATAGAACAGTACAGTAGATACATTGTTGCATTTCGAGCTGTATGTAACTACGGATCGATAAATCGATAACGCCTTTCTAACTGAGCTGACCGAATTAAACGAACGTATGTTTAAAGATATTGGCGGAAGGAGTAAATAAACAGAAGGAAGCATAAGTTAAACATAGCTAAGATCCCATTAAATTTGACCATTGACCAGCAAACACACATTGAGCTGTCAAAAACGAATTGCGCATGCCTCGTAATTTTGACAGGAATCAGATGTTTTGGACTATTGGCGCCATGCAGCTGCGTTTGTTGTTAACCTTGCCAACGAATCTGGCAAACAAAACAAAAACGAGAAGGGCACACAAGCAAAGAAGAGAGCAACATCAGCAGCAGCAGCAGCAGAGAGAGATGAAGTCAAACAGACCGAAAAGCACGTGCTGTGAGAGCCTGGGCCAACAACAGCAAGAACAGTGAGAGCGCAAAGCTTTTCAACTTGCGCTGAATGGAATTCAAGCAGACGGAGAGACCGACAGCGAGAGCGAGAGCGAGAGAGAGTACAAGTGCGAGTGTAAAAGCTTTGCGAGTGCTGGCTTTGCTGCTTCTGCTGCTGCTGCTGCTGCTACTGCAGCTTTCGGGGGCGTCCAGGACCCGTCAGCGAATCGAGTTGTGGCCGTTGCGTTGCGTTGAACGTCAGTAGTTGGAACAAGGACGCGTAACGTGCAAAAGCAAACGCGCAACAAAAAAAGCGTTCTCGCATAACGGTGATAAAAAGTAAAGCCCAATTCATAAATTTGGGTTCCACTGTCCAGCTCGTGTCTCTGTGTATCTCTCTCTGTGTGTGTGTGTGCGTAAACGCCAAAGTTATATGCCAAAATCAGCTGCACAAGAAGCGAGTCAAATATTTGTTCGATATACAGATGTGTGCGTCACGTATACGTAGCTTGTGACCATTCGTGTCAGTGTGTGTGTGTGTGTGTGCGTGTGTGTGTGTCAGCGAGTTTGTGTGTGTGCGTGTTTTTATTGATTGCACGTTATCTACGCTGCTCTCAAGGATACGAAATTTGTGAGCAGCTGCTTTAAAATGTTACCAAACCGAATTCGGGCATCAACAGCGGCGCCATAAAAACTGTTGCCCACAAAAATTGTGCCAGCCACATTTTGTGGATATTTGTCAAAAGTGTGCGCGCCCATTCAAGGTCGCATTTTTTGTGCGGTCACACTGACAAAATGTCACAAACAGACACCTAAAAAAAAAAAAACAACATCAAAAGCGACAACAACAAACAACGATTGGCAAATATTTAAAACGAGCAGCAAACCAAATTGTCATCGTCATCAGCAGGCTCAACTCATCAGCTGCCAAAGCCAAATTAAAGTAAGCAAACCAAGCGAAATGAAACGAAATGCAAAAGAAATGCCAACTCAGGCTAGTGGCGAAAAATCGAATTATTTGTGTATTTTACGTGAGAGGACGCCGAAATGGCAGCAGACTGTCTATAAGTACATATATCTTTCAGTTTACTCCAAGTTAAGTAAATGGCAGACAGCCCTAAGCCGGCTACAATCCCAACAACAACAACAGCCAGGACCTTATTGAGCGTGGTTGCACAGGTCATGTGACTGGTCCTGTTTGTAGGACAACGAACTGGGAATCTGAGAATCTTCTGCAATATTTTCTGTGTCTCTCTTGTATTGAAAACTCAGGGTTTTATTTTTTTGTTGTGTTTTTTTTCGGTTTGTTCTTTACGTTGACTAAGCTGCCATAAAAAACTGCAAAATCGCTTACAGATTTGTTTTTCTTTTCATACCCGCTGTTCTCGGAGCGAGTGTAAGAAGATTGCTTAAAAGAAATTCTGCGTTCCAATTCAAGTTAATATATTTTTCAATGGTTTTCCATATATAGTGCATAATGTTAAAAGATAATTGTCGGTATTTCTACATACAAGTTGTATTTAAATGTGAGCTAGTATAATTTTTGATTACTATTTTCAACTACTCTATAATAATTCATTTATAATATGCCATTATGATTTATGGAAAAATTTTACAGTTCTTGAAATTGAAATTTTCCATTTTTTATGGCTTGTATAAATTGATTTTTTTTAATAGGATTATGTTAATTTGTTAATAACTCAGTTTGCTAGAAAAATAATAAAATAAATAATGAGCTTGTGTCAAATTTAGTGATGTTAAAAACTTAATATTAAATCAATATATAAATTCCGATTATTAGTATCAATAAAACTAATTACTTAATTCAATTATGTTTATGTTTTTGAAATAACACCTGAGCTGTGCATTGCTAAAATATTAGAAAGTGATCCAAGCATTCAATATAATTTAGATTTCTGTCACAAATAGCAAATGACAAACATGAAAAATAAGAGCGGCACAATAAATTATTCACAATGAGTTACTTTTAGCCTTGGCCCTCGGGGAACTCGGTCTGTGCTGTGGAATGCAAATAACTTTATGATTCATTCACACATGGCAACAAACATAACTCAAAGCGTAAGCGGCAGAGACTGCCTCCTCTGATGCTGGGAATCCTTCACACATATCTTGCAGCCGAGGCAGGCAACAACAAATTTGTTTGGCTTACCAGTTTAGTATGCATAAAATGTAAGAATGTCTTAAATTCTTGCTGCTGCTTACTCCTGGTCTATCTAAATAAACACTTCATTTATGCCCCGAGTGAACTCTGTGTAAGCAACTTTCAGTGCGCCTCCGGGTTGCATTGCAGATAAATCATAGACAAAAGTGTTTGCCACGCCAGTGTCCCCCATTTGAGCACTTATAGGTCTGCTTGCCCTGCAGCGCCAACCAACTGATTTATCAAAGTGAGAACAAAAAACACGTTACGTTCCAAAGCACACACTCAGAGACACGCACACCTCTTTTATGTTGTGCTGACATCAGCTGTTTGGATAGCTAAGGGCTTAGATTTTGGACTGACCTCGTTTTCGGGCTAACAACGAAAAACCCAAAAACACAGCCAAAGCAACAACAACGACAAGAATATGTTGATGTCCAATGCGCAAATATTTGTCGTAATGCGTTGCACAAACAAGCACAAAGCCCAGCAGAATCGAGCAGGTTTGAGCGAGAGAGAAAAGAACATAATGCATAACTCATACGCAACGTGGGCGAAACTTGTTTGATATCTTTTAGGGCATACGACAAGATTACTTATCTGCCATCAAATATGCACACAGGCCAAAATATATATGTATGAATCAAATATTAATTAAGATAAAAGTGGCCTCTGCAGCTTCATAAAACTTGTGCTAACAATTGCAATACAAAGTATTTCATTTGTTTTCTTAAAGAGGCATAATTAAAAAGCCACCAAAATTTGCTTTCATTAATATCAAGTAGTAGTAAAGTGTCAAAATTGACTAACTGCCCGTGTTACATTAATAAAAAACGTTCATTATATTGAATGAGCACTTTGCAATGCTAGTTGTCGACTTGACTGTGTTTTTAAACTCATATTTCTCACTGTTCACTTAGCAGATGTGTACTTAAAGTATTTATACATATTCGACTTACATATATACGAATACTATATTTGAAGCTAATGCCATATGCACATTTCAGTCGTAGAATATACACTCGTTGATTTATGTTCCAGTTTCTTTTATTTTTTTTTTTTCTCAAACATAAACTAGTTTTCGAGAGTTGTGCGGCAGCATTTTAGTCCAATTAAATTTTCATGCCACATGAGCATTTTGTGAGCAACAACAACGGAACGCTGCTAAAATGGAGAGTGGCACACGAACATGGCGCTATTTTCAATTTCCGTTGCACAAAAACCGGGCAAGGAATGCGATTTTTAACACAATTTCACATTGAAATATGCCAACAGGGAGCTGGCCAGGGCTATGAGAAAGGCAATGGCAAACAAGCCGTTCGAATAGTCAGCCAGTCATTCAGTCAGTCAGCCAGTCTGACATTGAGTCGCTGGGTCAGTCGGAATGCTTGTGAGGCTGACGTGCAGACTTGGTACAGCAAATTGTTGGCGACTAAAAGCAACAAAGCAGACAATTCCAAATAGAATCAACCAGCTCGACTAACGGAATGACTGACTGACTAACATGCGGACTGATTGACGGTTCAAAGCAAATTCCCTTTTATTGAGATTTAAACATTTGGGTCAATTCCGAATTGTGTTTGTGTTACTGGGGTTGCTTTAAATATTAAAATCCTTCTACCAAAACAGTTGTCTACTGCGAAATCTAAAAAAAGACAAGATTGCTCCAGACATTACTAAGAGATACCCTGTAGCTAGTACGTATAACAAAAATTACATACAGAAAAAATGAATAGCCGAACTCTAAAATTTCCAACAATTCGTAATCTTCTGCAACTAAATTTTTTGTCTCAGTTGTCGCTACCTACGCGTTAGTTAGTTAGTGCCAATGTTACCGCTTGATCTCAATAAAAAGGTGATTAGTCTAAATAAATAATAAATAAGAAACACATTTCAAAATATAAAATGAATTAATTTCTCTTTTGCCGTCAGCATTAAATTATAAAAAATAAATCACATTAATTAAATTATTATTATATTTTAACTTTCAACGAATGTTGAATGTAAAGAATGTTGTCCCTTATAGACAAAAGATATACATACTGTAGCCACTCGAGATTGTAAGAAATGTTGATAGTGGAATCAGGCTATAAGATTTTATCGTAAATCCATAAAAGTGAATATTTTAAAATAAGAATAAATCGATATCAGTAAAATTCGTTTAATTATTTAGTGAGCTGCTGGAAAATCATTATTATTATATATTACATGTGCTACGCCCTATTGTATAAAAGTAATGGGCACAGGGTATATAAATAAACTAAAAAATCAATGAGAGCAGAGCAACGGCCAGACTTGAAGGCTAAGAATGTGTAGCAAGCAACAACAACAGGAACAACAACAGCAACAATAGAAATAGGTAAAACAATCAGCTTAGCTCAAACCCGAAGTCCCAAAATGTGCAGTCAGTTTATGTGTATATATATATGTATATATGTATTTATATATATTTATAAATACATATATATATATGTGTACATGTACATATAACTTTTTTGCCCTCAACGCTTTTATGTTGTTTTTTAATTTTTGTTTTGGGTAAAACTCGGGTTTTTGATTGGCTTTTAGTTGTTCGGAAGTGTGCACAACACAAATACTACACATTGTAATGGAAATTGTAGCGCTGACTGGGTTGCATTTGTCATTTGAAAAGTGTTCCGTATCTGGGTCATTATGACAGCATTCTCGTGTATTTTTATATATAGCCCAGTTATTTGCAGCCAACTCGTTGTAGATGGGCTAACTCTTATATATACATGTGTTTCTTTTATGCTGTTCCAAATTGTTGTTCTTTGGGCTTAAGTAGTATGTTAAGAAATTGCTTTTGGACAACGATATAAGTGGGCTTTTATGAAAGAAAAAGATAATGTTGCTGTATTAGTTTATTATTTACTTGATGTATCTTCTTGTGGCTCTAAATACAGTTTAAGAAACTCTTTTATAATGTTTTAAATGCATCCTCACAGATTCTCACAAATGTAATTTTGTTTTGCAAAAGTGGTCATATTCATATTAGAAATACCTTAACACGAGTATACAACACATTCATATATATTCACAGTATTAAATGCATAAAATACCATTCCTTGTGGTTTATGTTCCTTTATCTCTTTAGAATGATATCGTATTCTTAAACAGAGGCTCATTTTTGTTGTTGCCTCATGTTAAACGGCCTTTTGGCGTGGGGGCAGCAATCAACATTTACTGCCGTCCACATACATTGTGTGTAAGTATATTTATTACCGACATATTCTGGCCTTCAATTCGAATACTTTCACTCTGCCTTGTCGCTCATAAGGACTGACTCTGTCAGTCAGCCTATTCAGTTTCGACCAAGTTTTGTGAGCAACGTTTTATTGGCTTTCGTTGTTTTAAATGGTTTCATATATTTCTGAGTTGTTTTGTTTTTTGTATGCTTTCCTGCTCTTTTTGGCTCTTGCGTGCATGAGTTTAATACATAGTGGATCGAGCGATATACATACGAGTATATACGTATACGTTGCTCTTTGCCTTGCATGTTGAAAACTGTTTAACAGGGGGCGGGGTTGGGAAAGAGCACAAACTCGGCTAAAACAAATTACGTACGAGCTCAAGGCCGCAGTGGCGGTCAGGCCAGAGAATTTTGTTGGGGCTGCTCGTTTGCAATTATATTGTAAAACATCGGGGCTTTTGGCCACTCGACGAGCGCACTAATGAAAAATGCTGGCTCGACTCGTTCGTTGGCCATTTGGCTATTTGGCCATTGCATATGTTCATAAATAATTAAATTCTTCTTCTGCTGC